AGATGTGTACTCTTCTATCTCATAGAGTTTCTATCCAGCTGTCTTGCAGAAGAACTTAGCTGCATGTGTATTGTTGCCATGCAAGCCCTTGAACTTTGTAGGGTAACAAGGTGTCTACCAAGCTGGGTAACTTAAAGGGATAGCACACACACATTTGGCATGAAACCTTGATTACAATCCCTATCATTCAGCTTGACTCTTGAATTCTTAAGCCTGAAACTGGAAGTACAGGAGAAGACATCAGTGCAACTCACCATAGTAATTCCTAATTTTAAACACTTTTCTGTATCTCACATATTCTTAATACTTGCTTCAGGGACATTCAGCTTTCTCCAGAACATGCAACCTCCTATTTTCAAGGACAATCCCACATGCACTGTAACAAAACTAGAACTGTCTGTCTAATAGCAAAATCTGCTATGATTTGTCTGAAGAGGGTGTGAATCCAAGTATCTTGGAGAACCTCTATAATCAAAAAAGGGAGACAGCCAAGTGTGGTGGCTCACATCTATAATCTGAGCTGCAGGAGGCTGAGGCTGGTTAATGGCTGTGAATTCAAGACTAGCCTGGTTTACAAAGTGAGACCATCTCATTTCACAAAACCCAACAAACCTAACAAAAAACAAACAAAAAACAAACAAACAAAATATATATATATATATAAAATTTACATAATGTACTACATAGAATTACATAATACAGAAATAGAAATAAGGGAATGAACAATAGAAAAACCTAGTTTTTCTTTATATTTTCCTGTATGCATATATTTGTTTTTATAAATGAAAGTTGCTTAAAAGACTGCCCATAATAACGGTGCCTCATCTGACAACACTGTAAAGTACAGTAGAGGTTCCTGAGGTAATGAGTTGAACTCCCAAGATGCAAGATGTTCTATATGTAGAACATGTTTTCAAGTGCCCAAACTGGTGTTGTTTAGTATTATTGGCTATACTTGTTCTTTTTCTTTTCTCTTCCTCCTCTTCTTCCTCCCCCCCCCTTTTTTGTGACAAGGTTTCTCTGTGTGGTATTGGCTGTTCTGGAGTTTGCTTTGTAAACCAGGCTGGCCTCAAACTTGGAGATCTGCCTGCCTCTGCCTCCTGAGTGTTGGGACTAAAGGTGTGTGCCACCACCACCCAGCATTTGTGTGTTTTTCTGTGTTACACATCTTGACTACTGTGAGTTCAGTGAATTCAACCTTAAAATGTATTTTAGGGGATGGAGAGATGGCCCAGAGAATTAAGAGTACCTAATTTAGATTCCTAGCACCTATATGAAGGCTCTACATGTAACTACAGTCCCAGGGGATTTGATGGCCTCTTCTAATATCAGCAGGCTCTTTCACACACACACATGTGGTACACATACTCTCAGGTGCACATACATACCGATAGATAAATATTCTTTTAAAAACCTATTTGGGGCGTATCAAACCATCATATACAGAGTCCTAAGAGTAGGGAGGGGCTGTAGAGAGCCACAGGTAGACCTTTCTGGTCTCCTCATAACTAAAAACAAAATGTAGGACTTCATGTTAATGCTTGCTGTATATATGCCCTGGCTAGCCTAGAATTTGCTGTGTAGACCAGGCTGGTCTTGATCTCATAGAGATCCAGCTGCCTCTGCCTCCTAAGATCTTTAATTAAAAGGTGTGCACCTTAGTGAAAAATGCATTTTATTTATTTTTTGATTTTTCGAGACAGGTTCTAGCTGTCCTGTAACTCACTCTGTAGCAAAGACTGGCCTCGAACTCAGAAACCCGTCTGCCTCTGACTCTCAAGTGCTGCAACTAGAAGCCTGTGCCACCACTGCCCGGCTAAAGTTCCCCCCCCTTAAGGGTTCCAGACAGAGTTTCTAGCCCCGGCTGTCCTGTAACTCACTCTGTAGCAAAGAAAGGCCCAAAAGACATTTCATAAAGCATATTTTTTTCTCTTTGGTCTGAGGGTCTAATAACAAAATTCAGCCCTCTCATTACACAGTCCTATTTAAGTTGTGCGACAAAATGTACACTTAAGAAAAAAATTAACATTTTAAATGTCAATAAAAGAAAATATCGCCCGGAGGTGGTGGCACATGCCTTTAATCCCAGCACTTGGGAGGCAGAGGCAGGCGGATTTCTGAGTTCGAGGCCAGCCTGGTCTACAGAGTGAGTTCCAGGACAGCCAGGACTACACAGAGAAACCCTGTCTCGAAAAAAAAAAGAAAAGAAAATATCCAATTTAAAAAAAAATAAAATTCATATTCTTATTAAAATATGCTAAATATATAAGGGTTGACCTGGCACAAAATCAGGTTATGTCAAAAGAAAGATAATTATTAGTCATTTTAAGGAAAAGGTTATTTTTGCCGTAAACCTCAGGAATAATTCTTGGAGAATTTCCAGAAGTACGTGATTCAGCAAGTAAGCAGGCTTGGAAGCCTGAGGCAGAACTGCAATACAGTCTACCTGAGCTACCAAATAAGTTCAAATCTGGCCGGAAACACTTAACCACACCCAGTCCACAGCTGCTGGGGGTGGGGCTCCTGGGATTCCTCACCTCCCTGGAGGTCTGGCAGTTTATCCTTTCTGGGGAAAGGGCGACCTTTAGCAAACGCGGAGAATGTATTGAAATACGAATTCTTTCCCCAGGTCATCTCTCTGGCCTACTGTTTTTCTTCCTTTCATGGTTGTTTTTCTTCCTCGTGGCCCTGTAGCCTAAATTCCTTAGAGCTTCTTGGCATGCCTTCAACGATAGGGTCTCTAGAGCCTATTCTGGCTTTAAACTCAAGGCAGTCCTCCTGACTCAGCCTCTTAAGTGCTAGAATTACAAGTGTGAGCCAACGTGCCCAGTTTAAAATGGCAACTTTCCAGGAAAATTTGCACGTTAAGGGCTTCTGAGGATATAAAGGAGTAGTCACTAGAAATGTGATTTATTTGCAAAGGTCTTATTTATTTACCTTACAAAGCTGCTCTTACTCTATCCACAAGCCTGTCAATTCTCTGAGTACGAAAGCCTAGCTTGCTTAGTCTTGCTGTCTACCATTTCCTACATAGTAGACTTCAAAGTTTGGTGTAACAAACATTTTTTATAGGGTCTTGTTATGTAGCCTAGGCTGGTCTCGAACTCAAACTGGCAATCCTTCTGTCTCTCCTTCCAAAATACTGGAATTAAAAGCATGTAGAACCACACTGAGGTCCAAGGCACTTTTGAAGCGTTATTTTCCATACTTCTAACCTGACATCCTATCTTATAGTCTCATTGCACGTTACATAAAAAATTAGATAAAAACCTTTTATAGCTGAGGATTATAGTTACTCTCTCTCTCCTTTCTCCTCCCATTTGTTGAGGATATATATTGTTTATCTTACCCTGACTTTCTCATTTGTGCTTTTCTCCACAGACATTTCTAGACTTAAACAAGAATATTAGGGAAATTGGTTTTGAGTGTTTTTATCCCTCAATGCCTTTTCAGAGGTCGTTATCTGGGGTAGTATCCGGCATGTGCACTCTTTCCACACAAGCTGTTTACTGTGTCTGCAGTTACAATGAGCAGTATGTTGGTACTGTAGTTTTGAGTTTGTCTCTCCTGCTGAGAATGCCCTAAGATTATTTTTTTTGTTGTTTTTGAGTGTGTGCAGCACAGCCTGGCCTCAAACTAGCTCTACTTCAGCCTTAGCCTCCAGAGCGCTGGAATGACAGGTATTTGCCAGTGCTCTGTCTAAAAAAAAAATCCCGCAGATTAAGTTTTTTTTTAAAAATAAGACTTTACAGAGCTTATTGCTAAAATTTAAATTCTGAGGTTTTTCTTTTTTATCAATAATCATATGTAAAACTTGGTCTCATGGAACACACTGATAGGGCAACAGACTTGCCAATAGTGTCTCTAAGCTGAGAATTGGTAAATGAAGTGAGTCTTAGCTTTGTTTGGTTTACAGATTTCTGACTGATAGGGTGGGAGGAGGGGTGGACCCTGAAATTGTGCTGGATGGGGCTACTTGGCCCTCGAATGCACCTCTACTTTTGCCAGTAATCTTAGAAAATGCTCTTGGTAGAAAGGTAACAGAATTTACAGCTGTTATTATTGAGGCAATCAAAATGCGGGCCCTGTGGGATGTTGTGTTACAGACAAAACTGAGAGATCGTGTTGCTGCACTGAGTAAAAAAGTTGCCTCCTAGCTTAGCCTTCTCCGCTCCCTGAACGAAGTGATAGTCCTCTCTAGCAGTGGGCATGCTTAGGTTTTCCTCTTATTTAGGCTTCCTCCCTTGGCCTTACAACTCCTCATTAGTCCTTCATCTTTTAAAGTTTCCCTTCCCCTTACTTTTTCTTCCCACCCTCCTCTTTTCCCTAGATAGTTTACCCCGCCCCTAGCCCGCACCACCTACTCTGCCTCACCGGAGGCTTCCCGCTTCTTCTCCCGCCCCCCCCCCCACCCCAACCCCCCCCCCCCCGCACGTTCCCAGAACCCCCCACTAAGGGGCCCCAAGGGGGCCCCCAGGCCCCCCCCCCCCCCCCCCTCCCCCTCCTTTTTCCTCCCCGTGTTCCCTCCCCCCCCCCCCCCACCTCAAGTCCGGCGGACCCGGGGGCTTCAGGATCTGGGAGCTATGAAAAGTGTCTGCCCAGGCACTTCCGGTAAGAGCGATGTGGCGCGAAGCTCCCCGCGGGACCCTTAAGGAACGGGTGGCTGATGGTGAGGGAGCCCGGTGGGGAGGGTGCCGGCAGGGAAGGGGTGAGGGAACGGGAGCCCTAGCGAGCTGCCCTGAGCGAGCGTTCCAGGCGCTTCAAGCCGCCCCACGGTGAGTCGGCGCCCCCGCCTCCCAGGCCGCTCGGGTCCTCCTCTCCACCCCCCACTCCGCGAGGGTGACGCCGCCTCTCCACGGGCGCCGCGTGACCGGAAGTGGCGCCATCTTTAGCCTCTTGTGCTATTGACAATAACAAGCCTAGGCTCACTCCCCCTCCCCCCTCCAGCCCTGCAGCTCCCCTCCCTGAGAGAGGGAGAAAAGGAGGAGGAGCTGCAAGCTTCTTCCTCTCGCTGAGTCGCTCCTGCAGAAAGTGGGGAAGAGAGGACGAAAAGCAGGGGAGGGGGGACGGCAGGGCTGTTTACCTGTCTGCCTCCTTCGCCCCCCCCCCCCGCCCCGTTCTGTTCACTGCCTGTGTCAGCCTATCCGCCTTCCCAAGCCCTCCCATTCCCCCGGCGTGCCCCCCCCACTTTCCTTCCCGTCCTCTGTGTTTCTCCTCTTTCTTCCCTTCCCCCTCCAGCATTGCCACCTCTCCTACAAGCAGGCAGGCACATAAACGTAGGCTTTTGATGCTCCTCTGCCTGTTGACCCCGCTATTTTCATGTTTCCAACAGGTTTTTCTTCCCCCAATCCCTCTGCTGCTTCTGCTGCTGCTCAGGAGGTCAGATCTGCCACTGATGGTAATACCAGCACCACTCCGCCCACCTCTGCCAAGAAGAGAAAGTTAAACAGCAGCAGCAGTAGCAGCAGTAACAGTAGTAACGAGAGAGAAGACTTTGATTCCACCTCTTCCTCTTCCACCCCTCCACAACCCAGAGATTCGGCATCCCCTTCAACCTCGTCCTTCTGCGTCGGGGTTCCAGTGGCCAGTTCCAGCCACGTACCTATACAGAAGAAACTGCGTTTTGAAGACACCTTGGAGTTGGTAGGGTTTGATACGAAAATGGCTGAGGAATCTTCCTCTTCATCTTCCTCATCATCGCCAACTGCTGCAACCTCACAGCAGCAGCAACAGCAACTTAAAACTAAGAGTATATTAATTTCTTCAGTGGCTTCAGTGCACCATGCAAACGGCCTGGCTAAATCTTCTACCACGGTCTCTAGCTTTACTAACAGCAAGCCTGGCTCAGCTAAGAAGTTAGTGATCAAGAACTTTAAAGGTAACCAAGGCCAAAATCCATAATCACTTAACTAAAAATTTGGCACTTGAGCAGTCACATGTGTGCTGTTTATGTTAATATATTGAACAGTATAGAGGTCTCCTGATGTTTTATGCGTAATCAATGAGTGGAAGGGAGGTCCTATTTTTGGTGGAGGGTTCTTTTATTTCCTGAGGTGTTTGTGTCCTTGTTGTGAACCATACTCTTTGAGTGTTTCCATGGAATATATTTGAGGTCTGTCCCATTCTATCTGATCTGCTATTCTTACCACATGACTGTATGGTTGATACAGATTTTACTGGTGAGAAACTTGTTTTCTAATGAGGTCCATCTCAGGTGCATCGTGAGCCTTTGGCACTACTGAGATTTTTATTTTTATAGGCCACATACTCCAGTCCCTAAAAAATGCAGGTAGCATGGGCGACAGGTTCATGTTTAAATGAGATTTATGGTTAGGTTCTTAGTGTAGAGTACTGTATTTGAAACGTCTTTTGGGTTTTTGCAATTCATTCCAAAGGTAAGGTCTGAAAATCAAAACTGCTGTGTTTATACATTATACAGAGAAGTAGTGACTCTATCACTAAAGATAGAAACAGTTAACTCCATCTTTCCTCACTAGAATGGGCTCTCAAGTATTGACCTGCAGATAATTAGAAAATTTATGCATACTGTTGTGTTTGAAATTACTGATTGGGAGTGTGATGTATGCATCAGTGAAAGTAGAAATTCAGCATTTAAAATTATTTTGAGTTAAGTTCTCATCTGTTGAATGTGTTTCTGTTTTTCTGATTTATTTTTTTCACCCTCCTCAGCTTGTGCAGGTAATTAGATGCTAGTGAATGAATGAACTGAAGGCAGTGCCTGTTATATTAGCATGCGGAGATTTGATTACTCTGCCTGCAGTTGAAATGTTGATGTGAAAAAGGGGAATGTGCTACCTGTCTCAAGTAGGGGGTTATAGAATTGTTTATTTTTAACCCTTTTTTATATGACCGTCTTTCCATACTCATGCTCTCAAGAGTGTTATATTCTTTCTGATTTATTAGTACAGCTTTCTAAAGTGAATATGAACTGTATTTACAAATTCATTCATTCATTGTTTCTAACCAACGTAATAGAGAAGGGTTTTTCAAAAAATGAGTTGTGATCCTAATTTCATTTGCATATTGATTTCAGAGACTTTATTTTTCTTTCTCCTGAAGGCATTAAGGCCTTTGAAATCTTTAATTTGTGTAAACTTATCAATGATGAGTGAAGTTTAAAGTCTAGATTAAATTTTTTTTCCATTCTGAAAATGCTGCATAGGTTCTGGAGTCATTTAGGTATTAGTTCATTTTTGTTTTGTTTTAATTTTTATTCTGCTCCTCTAAAACTAAGAACTGTTCTGTTTCTGTGATAGCTGCATACATTAGGCAGTCAAACAGACCTGAATTGGAATTCCAGCTTTGCCATTGACTAGTTATGGTGACCTTGGGCAAGCTTACCAAATGAGTTCCAGGCTCAGTTTCTTTAATTGTAAAGTAGGGTTGCTAATATTCCCTGTGGTATTTTATTTTTGAGACAATTTCTACGAAGTTTTTAAAATACTTTTCACATAGTGCATACTCAGTATTTTAAATCTTTCCTACAAGATTCATGTCAGCTTCTGTTTTACACATGATAAAACAAGATCAGAACTGCTGTTTTTATCTGTCATTCCCAAATTTTTATTTTTGAAACAATACAATCTATAGGAGAGTAAAGCTTACCTTCAATTTTTATAGGTGTGTCAAAATGACTTAACAGTATTTTGGCATTTTAAATTTTGTTTATATTGAACTTTTAAATACCATGGTTACTTTAATATTTAGGTACTAAAAAGATCCTAAAATAGCAGTACTGTTTTATAGTTCTTTGATTACTATATCCTTAATATTTTTCTAATATTTTTTTTGCATATTATTTAGATAAGCCTAAATTACCAGAAAACTATACAGATGAGACATGGCAAAAGTTAAAAGAAGCAGTGGAAGCCATTCAGAATAGTACTTCAATTAAGTACAATTTAGAAGAACTCTACCAGGTATGTAAAACCACATTTTACTAACATAAGTCGACATGGAATGCATTTGTATTTTGCTTTCTTTAAAGATTGATTTTGTGTGTGTCTGTGTGCGTGTGTGTACACACTTCTACAAATATATGAGTGCAAGTGCCCTTGGAGTTCAAAGGCTTTGGTTCCCTCTAGAGCTGGAATTATATGCAGTTTTGAGCGTTTGACATGCGTGCTGGGATTCAAATTTGGGTCATGAGAAGCTGGAGAGATGGCTCAGTGGTTAAGGTTACTGGTTGCTCTTCCTGAGGATCTGAGTTCAATTCCCAGCAAGCACATGGTGGCTCACAACCAGCTGTAATGGGATCTGATGCCCTCTTCTGGTATGTCTGAAGATAGTGACAGTGTATTCACGTAAACATCTTACTAAAAAAAAATTGTTTAAAAAAATTGAGTCATGAAAGAGTTCTCTTAACTGCTGATCCATTTCTCCAGCCCCCTGTGTTTTAACTTTCTGAAATACATTGTTTAGTAGACTTTGGTCACTTACGAGTTAAATCGTGCCTTCTATTTTATGATCATAGCACATAGTGTTACTTGAACTGGGGATACATAATTGGACAGTTCTGATAAGGCCTTATTAATATTTTGGTATAGTAGAGATGTGACCTAGACTGGAATGTTATAGCATAGGTCCTAGAAAATTTTTTTTGCAGGATTTCATTTCTGTTGTGGCAATTCTTGTTTAGTTCTATTACCCACCTATAGGAAAGGCCTCAAGACATGCAGCTCTTTACATTCTTGCATCCTTTTTTCTGCCTTATTTTTTTAAGAAATTGCATTTATTTGTTCTGTGTGTATATGTGTGGGCAAGCCATGTGTGGAGGTCAGAGGACAATTTATCTGAGTCAGTTCTTTCCTTCTACCTTATGGGTCCCAGGGATTGAATACAGGTTATTAGGCTTGATGGTAAGTATCTTTACCTGCTGACCCATCTTGCCACCATCCCCTCCTTTAAATAACTTAATTTTAAAAAATTGCATGAGCCGGGCGTTGGTGGCGCACGCCTTTAATCCCAGCACTTGGGAGGCAGAGGCAGGCGGATTTCTGAGTTCGAGGCCAGCCTGGTCTACAGAGTGAGTTCCAGGACAGCCAGGGCTATACAGAGAAACCTTGTCTCGAAAAACCAAAAAAAAAAAAAAAATTGCATGAAAGAGAGAGGAGAGAAAACAGACAGTGTGTGTGTGTTCACATCTGTGTTGCAGCACATATGTGGAAGTCAGAGGACAACTTGCAGAAATTGGCCTCTTTTTCTCTACCTTGTATGTCCCAAGATCAGACTTACATAGTGATGTTTAGTGCCAAGCACCTTCTCCTAATGAACCTTCTTGTTGGCCCTACCTCATTCTTTTTTCTTTTTTTCCTCTGGATTCGTGATTTCTCATGGCTGCCTTAGAACTTACTATGTAGACCAGGCTGGCCTCGAACTGTCAGAGATAACTTACTGTGTGTGCCACCAAAGCGATAGGATTAAAGATGTGCACCACCATCGTCCTGTACCTGACTCATTCTTTTTTTAAAAAAAAAAAATTAAAAGCATCTGTACGAAGGAAGCTTTTTTAAAAAAAAGATTTATTTAGTTTACCATATGAGTATAGTGTCCCTGTCTTCAGACACACCAGAAGAGGGCATTGGATCCCCATTACAGATGGTTGTGAGCCACCATGTAATTACTGGGAATTGAACTCGGGACTTCTGGAAGATCAGTCAGTGCTGTGGTTTTAAATGTAGAGATTACTGAGCCACTTTCCAGCCTGACTCATTTTTACAGATGGTTGTGAGCCACCATGTGGTTGTGCTGGGAATTGAACTCAAGACCTTTGGAAGAGCAGTGAGTGCTCTTAACCTCTTAGCCAGCTCTCCAGCCCCGACTCATTTTTTTTATTTTTTTTATTTTATATATATGACTAGTACACTGTAGCTGTCTTCAGACACACCAGAAGAGGGCATCAGATCCCATTACAGCTGGTTGTGAGCCACCATGTGGTTGCTGGGAATTGAACTCAGGACCTTTGGAAGAGCAGTCAGTGCTCTTAACCACTGATCCATCTCTCCAGCCCCCGACTCATTTTTTAATAGTGGCTTTTGCACTTTTTTTTCTTGGGCTTCTTCTGTCTCCTAGTCTACAAGAAACACCTTACTCCAGAAATGAGCAGTAGCTATAGCCCAACACCTTAGTCTGAGGTTCATGTTTGTTTTTCCTGTTTGAAAAAGTGTTTGGTTGAAATGTTAAGGATAATGCCAAGAGCAGTTACTCATTAGACTTGATACCAAGAGAGTTTTCCTCACTGGTTTTAACACAGCTAATTGAAGAAGTTGTTTTCCCTTACAGCATTAGCCATTTGGTATTTAAAAATACTTCTGATTAGAAATTATGTTGGTTCGATGTATCAGCATTTGTAGTTTTTGTGTTAGTTGTATAGTGAGTACAGTACGTTTCTGACTAAACTCTGGATGGAATAGGAGTTAGACACATTTGGGATTTAATTTTGACTACTGCTGCTATCCTAATCTTTGACAAACAATAAACACTCTAAGGTTTAGTTTCCTCCTCTATAAAATGGCAAACTAGTACCTGCCTTTCTTCCTTACTTGGTTGCTAATAAAAAATGGAATAAGAAAACAAAACAAACACCTTAATGAAGCACCTTAAGTAAGCTGATGTTAGCATTAGTCACATTTTTTACAAACCATAGTATAGCTCTTTTTATCTGTACTACATAAAATTGAGATCACTGGTTTCTGTTGCTATGAAAATGAAATGAGTCAGTGTATGCACCACACAACAGTATTCAGGTGGTGATGCAGTATAACTGTCAGCTGGGAGCAATACTAAGCTGTTACTTATGGGTCAGTCCACCTCATTTGGCTCTTTGGGCACAGTATAGACATGCTTCCTGAATTGTAAAATAACAAGTAGAAGAAATTAGAGTAAGAAAGGTTTTAAAAGAGTCCATGAGGTCTGCATACTTACTATGTATGATAGATAACCTACAAAGCAGATCCATTTTCTAGTGTGTTTAACCACTGTTGAAACTCTTAGAAAGTATTTGTTCTTATCTTCACTCCTAACCAGGAGAGTGAGTCTCAGAATGTAAATAACCCACCCCAAATTATTGGTTGAACAGGGAAGGTCAGACTGAGATGTTTGATTCTTTAGTAGATTTTCCACTGCTGTTCTGCTTCACTAATAACCCCACAGCATCTTAAATACCCATTAAACAGCAGTCTTCAAAGCAGCTGCATTGACTTACTTTAGGGAAAAACTGTGGGAACAGCTGCTCTGTGTTTCCATTTGTGTGTGTAGTCTTTATTTGGGAGTGCTGGTGCACAGCCTGTGTAATTGCAGTATTTGTATGTATATTTCAAATTCATAACATACTGATTGTAGCTATTAAGGAGCCCTATTTACCTTAAGTATTTTCCCTGAGTTTTTGATTTGAAGATATCTTTCTTGGTATGTTGACTGTGTTACTTCCTTTTATGTTTAAAGGATACATATAAGTTGTTTGTGTGTATTTTTGCTTTCTTGTTTACTTGCTGTTGTTGAGTTGTATTTCTTTGTCCTAAAGTCACAAGCACCTAGTTACAGTGGGACCTGCCTGTAACCTCAGCACTTCAGAGGCTGAAGAGGCAGAAGGATTTTGATTTCAAGGCCAGACTGGTTTATATAGGGAGACCTTGTCTCAAAACAGCCCTCAAAGAGATAAAGCCACAAGTGCCTATATTTTTCATAGCACCATACTGCTTTTGTTACAGTAAATTTGTAAGCACATTTTAAAGTTGTTTTATGTGTTCTATAAGATTTCTTTTAAAAAAATATATAAGTACACTGTAGCTGTCTTCAGACACACCAGAAGAGGGCATCAGATCCCATTACAGATCCCATTACAGTGAGCCACCATGTGATTGCTGGGAATTGAACTCAGGACCTCTGGAAGAGCAGTTAGTGCTCATAACCGCTGACACATCTCTCTAGCCCTGTTTTATGTTTTTAATTCTTGTTTTGTAAATGTTCCTTGATTCAAAAAGATTATTTTTGCGATGTTTAATTTCTAAAGAAGAGCTTCAATAAGCACATATTGTCTTTATTTATTTATTACATTTTTTTGAGACGGTCCCTTTATATAGCCCTGGTTGTCCTGGAATTCACAATTATATTGTAATTAGAGTAGGTTGGCCTCAAATACACAGACATCTGTGTGGTATTGTGCACCCCTCCCCCACAGTGCTGGAATTAAAGGTATGTATGTACCCCACCACATTCGGCTGTCTTTTATTATTATTTTATTATTATTATTGGTTTTTCGAGACAGGGTTTCTCTGTGTAGCTCTGGCTGTCCTGGAACTCACTCTGTAGACCAGGCTAGCCTCGAACTCTTGAACTCAGAAATCCGCCTGCCTCTGCCTCCCAAGTGCTGGGATTAAAGGTGTGCGCCACCACTGCCCGGCTTATAACCAGATTCTTAAGTAATCACAATTTACAATTGATGATCATCTATGTACTGAGACAGATCCGCAGCCTCACTCTAAAAGATTTTAAGGTTCTTCAGAAAGGAAATTTTAAAACTCAGGAACAATTATCGTTTAAAGCACTGTTTTAAAAAGACAATAGGACAGACACATGTTAATCCCAGCACTTGGGAGGCAGAGGCAGGCTGATTTCTGAGTTTGAGGTCAGCCTGGTCTACAGAGTGAGTTCCAGGACAGCCAAGGCTATACAGAGAAATCTTGTCTCGAAAAACCAAAAAAAAAAAAAAAAAAAAAAAAGAATCTGGTTATAGCAGAACAAATAAAATTTTTAGCAGTTTTGATAACTAGCTATTAATGTCTCAAAATTTAACTGCTGTCACCTGTTCATGTTTATTTTGTAGTATTTTAACATTTGTTTTAATTATAATTTATATTTATATAAATTATATTAAATTTATATTTTTATGTAATATTTATATAATTACAATTTAATATATTTGGGTATTTTGTCTGCATGTTTATCTGTATACTACATGTGTACAATGTCCTTAGCCTCCAGAAGCAGGCATTAGATCCCCTTGGAACTGTAATTATAGATAGTAGTCTTCTGAGTGCTCCAAATGAAACCTGGGTCCTCTGCAAGAACAAGAAGTACATCTCTCCAGCCCTGTTTTGATTTTTGAAATTTGTTGGTTTTTTTTTTTTTTTTGAGATACCCAGGCTGGCATAGAACTCTCATGGTCTTGAACTCATGAAAGCCTTCCTGTGTCACTGTAGGATTACAGACATGAGCACTACACCTGACTTACCCCACTGGTGACTTAAAAGATCATATTCTATTGCATATTTCTTTGTATTTGAATGAATCCCTAATCATGTTTTAAATGTGTGAACATAAAATAAAGATCCTTGATAATTTTTTATCTTACTGAATCATTGTTTGCTACATAGTGTTGTGTGACAAAACTTTTCCTGGGGAGCTGCAGTACATCTACTCACCCTAGATAAGGAACCCACAATAGACTAAAGTATAGGAAGTTCAGCTTGGTGAGCCAATGAGTTTTATTGGGATGTATGGATGAGGGGTTACTTACAGGAGCAAGAATGTCTCAAAGACAGCTGTATCACTAAAGCCAGGCTGACAGACAGCTCACAAAGCTGGGAACCTGGAACAGCTAACTACACAGCCTACAGGCTGCTCAACAGGTTGGAACATATCCTTTCCAGGTGCCTCAGTTGCTCCAAACACCTTCTATCTAGGAAGTTGAGCTGGTATCAGAGTCTTTGTAGCTCAGTTTCTCTGAGTCTTTGCAGCTCAGCTTCCTTCTGTCTTAGGGGTTTTCAACTTCTACTGTGCACTCTGTCAGAGAGGTGCCTAGTAAATTGGGTCAGTTTCAGGGACTTCCTGAAGTTATTTTTTCTACTTAAGGAGCTTCCTCCGGTATGGAATGGAGGAAACTTAAACAACAGTGCAAAAATGATATAAAACAATTTTAAGTTTCATTTTATGATTTATTTCTTAACTGCAAATTTTTAGTGTTTTATTTTGTATATAATATATTGTCTTACCTTTTTTTTACTAGATGTAAAAAAAAGATAATTTATATTCTATTGCTGTATGTTATTTAATTTTTACAGTATATTCTCTTTTGGTGAGGGAAGATCTTACACTGTATAGCCCAGGCTGTCCTTCAGAGTTGAGGTTTTTCTGCCTCATGGTCCTGAATGTTGGGCTTACAAGAATATGTTACCATACATGGTTTCTTTTCACAAAATGTTTATAGCTGGCCTGGAACTCAGTATGTGGATCAGCCTGTCCTAGAGTTCGTAGGGATTCACCTGCCTCTGCTTCCCATGTGCTTATTCAGCCCTGACTCCATATCTTCACTAGCATGAGCTGTCACTTGTTTTATTGAACTTGGTGTGCCACCACCACAAACAGGTCTCTTTTATAAATATATTATTTATTTATTTTTTAATTCTGTATGCTTCTGTGTATGACGGGGAAGAGAAGTCACATCCATAGAATGCTTGTTGAGGTTAGAGGACAACTTTATGAATTCATCAGTGGAACTCATGTCTTCAGGCTTGGCAAGTGCCTTCCTTTACTCCCTGAGTCACCTCACCTCACCAGCCAGTTGTTTTCCTTTCTTTAAATATTAAAGTTTGAAAAAATGAGCTGATTGGTGGTGGTGCACACCTTTAATCCCAGCACTTGGACTGTGTAGAGACAGGTGCATGTCTGTGAGTTTGAGGCCAGCCTGGACTACAGAGTTCCAGGACAGCCAGGGCTATACAAAGAAACCTTATCTCAAACAAACAGTTTGGAAAATAATACCTAATTTACTAGGCCTATGACAAAAGTTGAGCACATTGTGGTAATTCTTTATTTTTCTTCCTGTTTTTTGTTAATGAAACATTTACATTCCTTTTAGTATTTATATATTTTTTCCTAACAAGTTGTTCTGTGTTTTTAATGTGATATATGGGTTTTGGAGGGTAGGACCTGCGATTTGCAGGGGTAAGGGTTAAAAGCTTGCTAAATGTTTATATTTTATGCCAGACTACCTCGAAAACCTTTAAGACCCTGTGTTTACACCCCATCTTTTAGGTTGCTAGGTTGTGAACCCAGGGCCTCATGCATGCTAAGCAAACAGTATGCCACTGAGCTATTATTAGTCCTAGCCCACTTGAAAAGTCCTCTATGGTCTTCCAGCTAAGCATAGATGAGGATATATGTAAAACTCAGCTTTGTTTTCAGTTTCTTAGTATTCTCATTAGTACTCTTATCCACTTCTCTCTGGGTCTTTGAGAGACTTGGAGACTTTTCCTAACTTCCCTCTCCTAAAGGCTGTGGTAGGGAGCTTTATGTCTCTGATTATGACTGTAAAAACACTTAGTTCACACTCTAGTTTTCTGATTATGTTTCTCATTCTATTATGAAGGGTGTAATGTAATATCACATACACACACACACTTTAAAACTCAAAGTATTAAAAAATAACTTATGACTGTATGATCACTCTGTCATTAAGCAAAATCAAGGAGACAAGATATACACATAAAAAGCAAGAGTATTGATACTGTGACAAGTCAGTGAGGTGTGATGGGTGGGAGCATTAGGCAAACCTGTGACAGTGAAAGGAGTTACCTTATTTGGAAGAAGTGGTACCCAGTTGAATAGTAACAGAAAATGTGGTATCTTTTGGGAGAAGATAATAGATGTGTCAAGAACTGTTTTATGAGATAAAGGAGAACACAGAAAGAAGTAGTATAAATAAGATTTATTGAAGAATAAGAAGTAGGGAAAGTAAAAAAGATTAAGTGTGCATTATGTCATTGACAACCTAAGCAGGAAATGAGACATGCTTAAGAAAATGAGTCAGCCATTCAAAAAGAACAAGATAAAGTAAAAAGAAGTGCCATAAATGGAGGAGGACACCCCACCTAGGATCAGTAGGAATAGAGGAGGACATGAAATCAATAAGTGCATCCTTAAGCATTTGTGACCTAAGCCCAGATTATTACATGGACTGTAACTGAATCTTTCTCAGGGAAGACTCAGTTTTCCTATTTCTCCATAGCTGTTAAATCTGATGGGTCTATTATTTTCTGTTGAGGATTGATGGTTTTCTTCCAGTGGAATAAGGAGATTCGTTTTTAAGCTTTATTTAAAAAAATAAACTTGCATTCTAGCAATGTGACTTCTAGCTACATGTTTACAAAATTCCACTTAGACCAACAGAGTTTGGACTCTCCCAGTTCCTTTTTAATGGGGTTTTGTCTTCCATTTTGAGTTGAGAGTGGTATTACACTTGAGCCGTTACCAATTGTGGTTAATATTAGAGTGACCATACCTGTTGTTTTAAACTTGAAAGGCTTTTGATACCCATAATAAGAAACACAAAATCTGAACTTGTTAATTTGAGGATAAATTCAAGTATCCTAATGAAGTAAAAATATATTCATTTTGTTGTTCAGTAAAAATATATTCATTTTGTTGTTCAGAGTATGGATTCTGGGGCTTCAAGCTGGATAGGCAACTATTCTACCACTAAGCCCAAATTGCAATTCCTATTTCAACTATTTATAAACTGAAAAATTAGAGAAAATGTCATGGTATTTATTTACTGATATTACATGGTATTAACATACTGATTTAAATACTGCTAGCAATAATTTCCACTTTATTGTATTCAGGAATATCCAAGGAACTATAAGTTTTAATTGAGTTATAGTAGTCGTTTCTGGCCCATGTCATACATACAAAATAGGTGAAGTATTTTTAAATTTAGTGGTGTTCTGCTTATGAAAATTATTTGGAACAAGAAAGCTTTTTATGTAGCAGTTGCTCTGAATTGGATATCTTCACGGGGAAGAACTTCATGAATGATTCCCTTCAGCCTTTACTTTTAATATAGTCATAAACATACAACTGTGGACTTATTTTGTTTTTCACCCACATTGGTCTGTTTTCGTGTGTGTGTGTGTGTGTGTGTGTCAGTGTGTAAATAAAAGTTTTCTAGGCTAGCCTAAAACTTCTAATACTCCTGCATCAGCATCCTGGGTTGATGCCATGCTTTTGTTTTTTAAAATTGACAAATACTTTATTTTCAATAAGCTGATAACAGTGTATAACAAAATAATGACTTCGTGTGATCATTGAGACCCCTACTGCAACTCTCTCCTATCCTAACAAATTACCTGTTTCATCTTGCAGGCTGTAGAAAATCTTTGTTCTTACAAGATATCTGCAAATTTATATAAGCAGCTGAGGCAGATCTGTGAAGATCACATCAAAGCACAGATTCATCAGTTCAGAGAATATCCTTTTCAAAACAAAATGTCACATTCATTTATGTATGTATTCTATGTATGTTCTACTTAACATGTATGCCTGCATGACGGAAGAAGGCATCAGGGAAAAAAGGGTAGTAGACTTCATTGTTGTGATGGTTGTGAGCCATCATGTGGTTGCTAGAAATTTAACTAAGGCCCTCTGGAAGAGCAGCCAGTACTCCTAACTGCTGAACCATCTCTTCAGCCCCTCAAAACAACAAAGTATCTTAATTTTTTTTTCATTACTCATTATCTCTCACTGCTTAGCTCAGTTTGAAATGGAATGCCTGTGCTGGTAGATTTATATTTGTCCTGGTATCTAAAGGAAAGAACAAAGTTTTAAAACTTTTTAGTGTTAATTAGAGTCAAAATAGACTCATCTGGTATTTATTTAAGTGAAACTTCTGTCATTAACCTTGCAGATTTCCTGGCAGATTTCCATTTAAGGGAAATCTTAAGTAGAAAACATAATGCTCAGTTATATTTGAGACTAGTTTTAAAAATAGGTTAAGGGGGATCAAATTTGTTTCTGCAGCTTAAAAAAATAGAATTATGTTTTAGAATTTGTATTTATTTAATATCAGTATATGGGGTATTCTATATTTAAGACAACATTTTTATATTAAACATGGTACTTATATGAAACATTTTGAAGTATCCTTAACATCTGTCTCATGGATTCATTGGATAGTGTTCTTTTTCTAAAAAAGATCGATAGATGCTGGCAAAATCATTGTAGGCAAATGGTAAGTTGGAAATAGCACTACATACTTCATTTCTTTTTCTTTCTTTCTTTTTTTTGTTTTTTTTTTGTTTTTTTTTTTTTTTTTCCAGACAGCATTTCTCTGTGTAGCCCTGGCTGTCCTGGAACTCACTCTGTAGACCAGGCTGGCTTTGAACTCAGAAATCTGCCTGCCTCTGCCTCTCAAGTGCTGGGATTAAAGGTGTGCGCCACCACCACCTGGCCTGGCCTGAAATTCAAGATCTTTCTGTCTTACTTAGCTTCTTGAGTGCTGGGATTATAGGCATACACCCCATGCCTTCCTCCAGTTTTTCTTTTCAGTTATTTAAGTAGCAAAGATGTCAGAGGACCATCTTAATTCTCTGTTCTTTAGAAACCACAAGACGGATTGATACAATAGTTTAAAGATAAATATATGGGACACATTCTCAACTAGCTGTATGTATTTGCAAGTTGGATCCTAGTAGCCTATTTAATATAAATCTTCCAAATTCTCATTTTATTAAGAGCTAATACTGCAGTTTCAAATTTACAAAAATTGCTTGATTTTTTTTCCTTTTATTTGACAGATAATGATCAGGAGCATCTTTTTGTTTCTGGATAGAACTTATGTTCTTCAGAATTCAATGCTACCCTCCATTTGGTAAGGATGCCAGAAGATTATTATGAAAAATTTTGTTACATATCGTAGTCTTAATTATTATAACAAGAGAACAAGCTGTACTTAGAATATTCTCTTAAAAATTAACATTTGGATTCTAGCATTTGTGGGATTTTGTTTTGCCTATTCTAATACTATAGATAGCTAACTTTCCCTCATAGTATATGAAGAAATTTCTTCATTAGGTATGAAGATTAAAGTTTACTCTAGAATATCTGTGCCTGAATCTTGCTGCTGATGATCAATAGCATTTTGCTCTTTTATTTTTCTTGTGGCATTATACTAAAAGTCTTGTTTGTGAAAATAAGATAGCATAATGTTTTGGTCCTTCAGCAGGTGCTTAGCATATACCTACAGTAGTCACTGTAATGTACTGATTTTAGAGTTTTGAAGCCATTTATGAATGACTAAATAAGCTGCTCAATGCCAGTATAGTGGAAAGTATTTTATCTTTGAACTAATTTTATTTCTGATTTCACTAAGATCACCACCAGAGGAAATGAGACACTAAAACCTAGTTACAGAGAAATCCAGGAATTCAGCTTCAGTTCTCATTTAAGACAAAATGGATTTCCTATATGCTTTAATCTAATAATGTTATTCAAAATTAAATGTGGATTTTATCCTTTTTATAATTACTGCTTCGAAGTCTGAGGCCACACAGTTAACATGTGATAAGTTAATTCTGCCTGTTTATATATGGTATTGCCAGTTCAGATAATACTTTCTTGTTTTTAATTTTAGGGACATGGGATTAGAGTTATTTAGGGCTCATATTATAAGTGATCAAAAAGTCCAGACAAAAACAATTGATGGCATCCTTCTCTTGATTGAGAGAGAGCGGAATGGTGAAGCAATTGATAGAAGTTTACTTCGAAGCCTTTTAAGTATGCTGTCTGATTTGCAAGTAAGTTGCACTTAACACTCACAGCACTACCTACAAATCTGATTACTGTTCATAGTTTGATGTCTGAAATACACAGTGTTGTTCAGATAGAGTTCTGATGGAAGTCATTAAGTAAATAGTTAATGAATAAGCAAATACTTTTGGGTTTTTTTCCCTCTCCTAGATTTACCAAGACTCTTTTGAACAACGATTTTTGCAAGAAACTAATCGGCTTTATGCAGCTGAAGGTCAGAAGTTAATGCAAGAAAGAGAGGTATTTTAAAATGATTAATGAATCCACTGTCTCTTACAGTAGACATTACATTGTAGAACACAAACTTCCGTTTGTATTTATATTCCCAACATTGTAATGCTCTTCTCTCACTTAGGTGCTCCTTTCTCTTCTCTCTCCTTAAAGGCCAGAATTCTGGATCATAAACTCTACCTCTAATTTTACATATGATTCTCCCCTGTCACATTTGATGGGGCTCTTCCCTGGATCTTTTGGACTTGACATTTTCTGAATGATTTATGGGGAGGAAAACAATAATATAAAAAACTATCTTTGTAGGTTCCTGAGTATCTTCATCATGTTAATAAACGCCTAGAAGAAGAAGCAGACAGACTTATTACTTACTTAGATCAGACCACCCAGTAAGTATTACATGCTCAGCCTAATAGTCTTAAAACTGTTGATAAAGCACTTTAGGCATCTTAAACTTGTAACAATTTTCAGGTATGATTGAGTCTTTAACAGTTGTTTTCATAATGTGAACTTCAAGTTTCCTGGCTAATTAGATTTAATCAAGCATTTGATTATTGGTTTGGTGTGTGTTTAGTGTGTAATTTTAAAGTAGTATTAGAGGTTGATTGGATCTTTAAAACTTGGTGTTTTTTGAGTCAGAGTTTCACTAAAACCCAACTTGCCCTGGAACTTGTGGTCCTCCCAAGTTCTAGGATTATAGGCATGCATCACCATGCCCGGCTTTTAAAATCTTAGACTGATTAAAATTCAGGGAGTGGGTGTTCAGAGAGAAACTGCTTCTGTACTTTCTAAATCTCAGCAACCAAGTGGTTCAATTAAGCAGCATAACTGTTTCACTTTAGTAAAAAGCAGAGAAACTTGGAAAAGAAATACTAGGCTCAGCAAGACCATGGAGATCATTACTTTGAGCAAATTCTGAAATACATTACTTTTCTTCCTTTAGGCATAATGTAAAATATTTTGACACACGGCATAGAAATGGCAAAATTAATGTAAAATGATTTTTTTTTCCTAGAAGCTTTAAATTTTCAAGGTCAAATCTCAATAATTCTGTTTTTCTCCCCTTTAGGAAGTCACTAATTGCTTCTGTTGAAAAACAACTTCTAGGTGAACACTTAACAGCAATTCTTCAGAAAGGTAATTTGTAATTTGTAAATAACAGGTTACTAGGGCTGGAGAAATGGCTCAGTAGTTAAGGGTACTTGTTGCTTTTGCAGAGGACTCAAATTTAATTCCCAGCACCCACATGGCAACTCTCAACCATTAGGAATTGCAGTTTCAGGGGATATAATACTCTTCTATCTTCTGTGTGTACCAGGCATGTACACAGTGCACATACATGCAGGAAAAACATTCATACATGTTGTTGTTGTTGCTGTTTTGTTTTTAGCATGTAGAGCCAAGAACTTCTAAACATTAATGATATTACAGGATACTCTGAATTTACTCACATAAATTCTAGTTATAGTTCACACCAGTATCACAATAGTAATTTCAACTTAACATTTTATTGAAGTGGCACGTCAATTTTATTTACTTTTTGATTCTCCTATTTTAATACCAAAATATTTCAAACCAGGTTTAAATAGCCTCCTTGATGAAAACCGAATTCAAGATTTGTCTCTCCTGTATCAGCTTTTCAGTAGAGTTCGGGGAGGAGTTCAGGTTCTCTTACAGCAGTGGATTGAGTATATCAAGGTATTACCAGTTTGTTTGTTGATTATTTTTCTCTTGCCTGTTTCATAATCTATGTACCAAGATTATCAGAAAGCATTTCTTGTTAGATGGGAATTTCTTTTAAAAGTGAAAAAATTAAAATGTCAGTCTGAGAATGGCAGCTGTGTGGCATATCAGCAATAAAACTTGAGTGATACTTGATGGGATTTCTAGCTCTAAGACTTAAATCAGAATATGAGAAATTAAAAGATTGAGTTCTGAAGCCATTTGGTTAAGATAAAGTGTAAGATCTGTTCTTACAAGTTTGAACCACAAATCCTTCCTTCTTTCTTCCTCCCTCCCTCTACCTCCCTCCCTGACCACAATCCTATCTTTAAAAGTACAGATCTGACTTTCTTAACAATGAAAAAAGCTTCTAGAGTCTTCTAATACTGCTGTAGTAGTATATCATATACCCAATGATAGCTTGTTATTTTTGTTTATAAGTGAATATTATCTGTTCAGGTTTCTCATTTCCTTCAGAGACAGCTGTACCTTTTATCATTGTTAAGTACATGTGGCAACTTAGAATACAACTTGGTGAATATTTTCACTGTAGATAAATCAATTACTATAAAATTACACCATTTTTATTCTCAGGCTTTTGGAAGTACCATTGTTATTAATCCTGAAAAAGATAAAACTATGGTTCAAGAATTATTGGACTTTAAAGATAAAGTTGACCATATAATTGATACCTGCTTTCTGAAAAATGAAAAATTTATCAATGCCATGAAAGAAGCATTTGAAACATTCATTAATAAAAGACCAAATAAGCCAGCTGAACTGATAGGTATGTTTCACATTCTTTTCTGGTTGTATAATTTTTTTTATTGATAAACTCTGAGGTAAAATCATATTGTACCCATTCCTGGTTTGTTTGATGTTGCTTAGCCAGTAATACTAAGTCTGAGAAGTGTCTCTAAGGATATGGATGCAAGAAAGAGTCTGTCAAGCTGAACAGCGTCCCATAGTCTTCATGTCAAACATGCTATAAACTCTTTGTGAGGTAGACCATTGGACCCCATTTACTTCTAGTGAGTAGGCTTAATTCTGTGCTTTCCGAGCCTATAGTGATTTAGACATGGAACAGAGTGCTATTATCAGAAGTCTCCAGTTACAGCTACAGGAAAAGCGCAGCATGAAATTCCAATGCAAATGAATAAAAAGTCTAGGATGAAAATTAATGATACAGGCTCACTGAGTGTACAGGTGTGTTACAGTGTTTCTCAAGCACATGCACTCATTGATGTTAGGAGTATATGTGCCCTAGAAAACTAGGTCCTCTGAAAGGATGGAGTTGGATTTGGTTAACGTCAAATTTTATTTAAATTTAAACATTTTATAAATTGTGCCTTCTGCTCTGTTTTTGGTTTATTCAAAAATACGAAAGTAATGTGTGTGTAAGAATACTGACCATCTGTGTAAAATAGAAACTTTAGAGAGTAACCCATGTTTTCTGGTGACTTTGTTTACCTCCACACAGGGCTACTTGAAACCTCCACCATGAGCTGTCTCTATCTCATTTAATTTTTTTTCTTTTTCTTTCTTTTTTTTTTTAACTCTGAAAGTAAGGGTTTGAACCCAGAGACCTACACATGGTAGGCAGGAACTCTATGTAGCCTTTGCATTTATACTGGAAAGTATACTCAGTCTGGAGTTCAATCTAATGCATTTAGGTTGTGGTATTAGCCCTGTGACATTGACAAATTAACTTGATCTCCCTTTTGTTGGAGGCCCTAAAATGCATGTACATATAGCAGAAATACTGAAGGAGTATTTTATAGTCCTTTTTGAGTATGTGCTGTGGTTAGTACTTTTCAGACACCCATGGTCACTAAACTACAATTTTTCTCCATTTTAGCCAAGTATGTGGATTCAAAACTTCGTGCAGGTAACAAAGAAGCTACAGATGAAGAGCTTGAGAAAATGTTAGATAAGATAATGATTATATTTAGATTTATCTATGGTAAGTGTTGATTACTGCCTTCATGTTTTTCTTTTAAAACAAGTCACTCTGAGCCAGGCACAGTGATAGACACCTGCAATCCAGAAATCAGGAGGCTGAGGTGGTATTGCTGTGTAGGTCCCATAGTATCAGACCAGCTAGGGCAACATAACAAGGCACTGTCTCAAAACAAACAGAAAACAAAACAAATAAAGCACTCCTATAGGAACTAAAACTTTTATATAACCCAGAGAGACTCTGAGAACTACAGGTTATATTTTATTTATTGCATATTTTAGATCCTTAAGAATAGTTGAGGAATATAACTAACTTGTCTTGTATTTTGACCTTTCCATTATTAAGAACCTGGAATTTTACTGCTTGTTTTAATCTCTGAGTTTTGGTGCTAACAGTACCAATATACTAAAGGTTTTTTTTTTTCTTCTGAAAAATAGTTAATACAGTCTTAATTTTTTTCTATATATAGTAAAGAACTTTTGAAATGTCTGGCACAGACATGAACCTCCAGTGTTCTTGAGTTTAATAAGCTTGGATAAAATGTATAAAATTAAATAACTTGGCGTGTTGTAATAAGCTTTTTAAAGACATTTTTTTACAGCTTTACTTCTTGGCATATCATGAATGTTACCTTTTTTATTTAATACAGGTAAAGATGTTTTTGAGGCCTTCTATAAGAAAGATTTAGCCAAACGCCTATTAGTTGGCAAGAGTGCATCAGTAGATGCTGAAAAATCAATGCTGTCCAAACTGAAACATGGTATGTTTGCCATTCTTTCTTTTTTTTTTTTAATATCGGTTTTTCCTTTTTAAATATTTGAGGGAAATAATGGCTTAATTAATTACACTATTTTCATTGATTGCTTCCTTGGTTGATCATTTTATATGCAAATGATGAAAACATAAAGGGATGGGAAGGATGGCTCAGAGGGTAAGAGGTCTTTGTGCGTAAGCATGAGGACCTGAGTTTGAATCCCTAACACGCATGTAAAAAAAAAAATCATATGTATATATATAACTCCAGTGGCTAGGGTGGGGTAGGTGTAGGAAACAGGAAGGTCTTTGGGGATTCCTGGACACCAGCCTAGCTCTGGGTTCAAAGGAGTAAGGTACACGGTGGTAGAGCACTACAGCCAGTGAACTCTAACTTGAACATGCATAGTGTCCATACCTGTGCAACTCACACACACACACACACACACACACACACACACACACACAGAACTTACGTGAGGTATGAGGGTCATAGCCTCTTGCTGATAGCCACAATTATTGGCTTGTTTTAAAGATAAAGAATTATTTTGTTTATTTGTATAAAAAATTCCCAACTATCCTATACCTGGATTAAAGAGTTTACCTCTGAATTACTAGGGCATGCTGAGAGGTAAGACCTTTCATTCTTACAAGTGGTTACAGATCATATTTTATGCCCAAGTTAAGTTTTTTGTTTTATTTTCTGATTTTAAGTTTTTGTTTGTTATACTATCTTGAAATATACTTATTTAAACATCTTTAACAGAATGTGGAGCCGCTTTTACCAGCAAGCTTGAAGGAATGTTTAAAGACATGGAGCTTTCTAAAGACATCATGATTCAGTTCAAACAGGTAAAAGTGCGTTAAACTCTTACTTAATTGCTTAAACTCAAGGATACTTAAGTTATGTCCTTGTGGCAGTTTGTATTGAAGAAGATAGAAACCCATATTTTTTGTTTTACAAATACTTCATGGCAACTTAAATAGTATGGTATAGTGAAAAGATCATCAGTGAATTTTAAGTATATTTAGCTTACTTCAGAATTTAGTCATAATTAACATCCAGAATAAGACAGAAACATAAGTAAAATGTATTAGACTAAAGTTAGTATTAGAAGAATTATACTTAGACAGTAAGAGCAGGGCTTTTCTAATCAGTTGGAGTATTTCCATGTTAGGAGCTTGTAATGGGAATAGAGGGGAGGTGATCAAGGATGAGGGTGGTATATGCTGCCTCTGTTGACATTTAGGATGAGAATTTGGATCTGTAGTTTTGAAGACATAAATAGAAGGTTGTTTTAAAATATTGGAAAAACATAAACAACCAGATGTAGTTTGTGTATCTGCAGTCCCAGCTGCATGAGATGCTGAAATAATATGTGGGCAATATAGTGAGACCCTGTCTCAGACAGCAGCAGCAGTAATGATTAGGCAGTAGTGATGGCAAATTAGACTTTATTCCTCAAGGGTTCAATAATGATTTATTGACTACTATATTGAAAGTGGTAAATGGAACCGAAAGACTCAAAGTTCAGAATCATGGATCTTACAGTAGCCACAGAATAGGATTTATTTGCCTTGCCCTTTCCTCCTTTTTTCCTTTCCCACTAAAGGTCAACACCTTCAACCAGGGAATCGAGCATTTGAAAAACCAGAGACTTGGGCTGGCTGGTGGGGTGAGGAGTGGGAGTTGTTATAAGGTGTTCTAATCCATGTTAGGGTCTCTAAAGGTGGGAGTTAAACGTAGCATTGAGGGAAAAGAATGGAGAAGAGATTCTGTAACAGCCCAACTGTGTGTGTGAGAAGTTGAGTTGTTAGTACCTAGGATGTTTTCGTGGGATTTTTCTATGCTGCTATATCAAAATGGCCACCTGTGTATTTTTCTACTGCATTTTGTGTAGCCTTCATTTCAAGTCTTAGTAATCCTGGCTGTCCTGGAACTCACTCTGTAGACCAGGCTGGCCTCGAACTCAGAAATCCACCTGCCTCTGCCTCCCAAGTGCTGGGATTAAAGGCATGTGCCATCACTTCCCGGCGAAAAAGGAAATTCTTAATTTAGTCGATATTATGGTATGATATATATATATTTACATAATCTCTGTGTATGTGTTGATCTTATAGTATATGCAGAACCAGAATGTACCTGGCAATATTGAATTAACTGTTAATATCCTGACAATGGGTTACTGGCCAACATATGTGCCTATGGAAGTCCATTTGCCACCAGAGGTAAGATAAACTGTTTCAGAACTAAGCTATAGGCCTAGAAATCATATTTTTTCTGCTTTTCATTTTAAAATATGTGACTTTTAAAGGGTTATGTCAAATATAGCAACAAAATATGAGTGTTAATATTTTATTCTTTTACTTCATTTTTCAACTAAGTTTCTAAGTTGATTCCTATTTTCCCCAATTATTCTGTTTCTTAGCTTATGACCCCTTAGTCTTTCCAGCTGTTAAAAATGTTGCCCATATTTCACCCGAAGGCAGGATTGGTAGATGTGATAGATACATGAGTATCCCTTCATGCCTTGGAAACTGTCTTACTCAGGACCAAAACCTAGAATGTTGAATAAAGAAAGATACAGAGACTCTGGAAAGAATCATGGGTGCCCAAAGAGTAGATTTCCCTCAATAAGGGAAGAATATGGTAAAGAGGAAGGGAAAGGCCAAAGCTTCAAGTTTAGAAAAGACTCACATTTAGCAGATGGTAAAAAGAGGAACCTGTAAAAGAAATGTAGGCAGAAGCAGCAGTGAGAGAAAGGAGTCAGTACAGTGTAGCAGTCCAAGTCACCAGAGTGAAGGAATGATTAGATAACAGGGCAGACAAGATCAAAGTGTATAAAGGCTGTTACATTGGGTAGTCAGATTTTGGCCTTACATTAAAGGGATTGATACCTACTGGATATAGTCACAAAAACTATCAAAAGCTATTTCATGTGGTTGTTAAAGTATTAAGAAGGAGATCATAGATGTGGCCCAGGGGTCAAGGCACCTGCCACCAAGCTTGACCTCCTAGTTCAACCCCTGACCCCACATAGTGGAAAGAGGTAACTAACTGGTCCCCGAAAGTTGTCCTTTGACCTTCATTAGCACACGATAACATTTATACCCCACTTTATACATTCAATAAGTAGTTAGAAAAAAACAGTGCTAAAGGTGGCATTGCATATGCAGCTTAAAGAAACACTTAATTTTATTTGCTTTAGATGGTAAAGCTTCAGGAAATTTTCAAGACGTTTTACTTAGGCAAGCACAGTGGCAGGAAACTCCAGTGGCAGTCAACCTTGGGACACTGTGTGCTAAAAGCTGAATTTAAAGAGGTAAGTGGATATTTCCAAATCTTAAGTTCTGTCTTCATCTTTAATATGGCTTATCCATTGGTTTGAAGGTTCAAGCTGCTGTTTTATAAGTGTGTCCTTGACACCTGCATAGCAACAGTGATAGGTTATTACAGCTATGTGTGTATTTTAAAATGGTTACCTTTTCAACAGTTGAGTTAGCCCTTGTCTAAAATTAAAAGCCTCCTTCTGTTTTTCTCTTTCCCTGTGGGTACAGAGTTCATACTGTCTTAACCAGAAATCATTTGACTAGAAGCTAGAGAACACAGTGGTAGATATAGGCAAACAATATCCATTGGAAAAGGCTCTGTATCTGTTATGAATGATCTGAATCAAGTCAAAATCTATTTGAAAGTGGGGCATAGTGACACAGGACTGTAATCCTGCCACTTGGGAGACAGAGGCAGGAAGATTGGATTTCAAGGACATATTTGGCTACAAAGGAAGTCTGGCTTGGGCTGCGGGAAACAAGCCCTGTCAAAAAATGCATTTGGAATAGTAATTTCTTGCTGCTTATGGTGAATGATACATAGGGCTGACTTATTTTCATTACTTTGTTCTGTTTTAATAAGGATTATAGAAGATGTTAATAGGCTAACTAATCCTTCACCCCATTTTCTGTAGACTCACACCTAAATCTCACACACATATTGCCATCTAAAGCAGCACTGTGGATAATGTTAATCGTCTAATGTTAGTCGTCTGTGCTTAACTCACTAATTAAAAGTGGTTTTCCTATAAGAGATTATTACTTTTTGATTAATTTTTCATGTGTTTTAAAAAACAGGCCAAAAAAAAACCCCTCTGCTTTTTCTCCAACAGGGCAAAAAAGAACTTCAGGTCTCTCTTTTTCAAACCCTGGTGCTGCTAATGTTTAATGAAGGCGAGGAGTTCAGTTTAGAAGAGATCAAGCAAGCTACAGGGATAGGTTTGTATTGTGTCTGTCCAGTAGCAAGCAATTAATTGTAGTTCTTTATTCTTTGTATTCACTGTGATCAGAGCTCTGAACATATAAGTTAATCCTCTCCTGTACTTTTTAAAAAAGATTCATTTATTTCTTTGTGTGTAGCCTCTGTGTATACCACACATGTGCAGGAATCTGTGGGGTCCAGAAGGGGGCGTTGTATCCCCTGGAACTTGAGTTAGGTGTTTGTGAGTCACCGTATTAGGTGCTGGGAACTGTCCTCTGGTCCTCTGAAAGACCAGAAACTACTCTTCAATGGTAAGATGTCTCTCCAGCCCTCTCCTCTGTATTCTTAATATTTCAAAACTAGTAAGTACCAGTATGTAGTGCTAACAAGAAGTGTGGTAAGAGTGAAATGAAGCGAGTAATGATTGTGGAAGGAAGTAGGACTTGATTTGGGCCTTCAAATTTTGATTGGAGAAAAGGCATATGAAATAAAGGAAGTAGTGTGAAAAAAAAAAAGACTTGAAAATAGGAGTGGCTAGTGTGGGTAGCAAGCCTGAAATGTTTGGTTGTAGCTTTGAATGGTGAGCTGTAAAACCTATTTGGACAACTTACTTGGCATTGATAGGACTAGCCACCTGGAATGTGAGAAGATTCTAGTCTAGAAGCTATGAAGATAATTCTGACATAAAGTCCTAAAAGAGGCTTCTAGTAGAATGTTTCCAAGAGCAGTGGAATTACTAGAGGTATAGCACAATGAAGGAGAATGAAAACTTAAAAGATGATTCTAGGCTTTTCATAGGATTAGGTTAGGATTACCGTCGTTAGCAATGGAGCAGAGGGTTAATGGAGAGTATATATCAACATACTCAAGTGATAGTAAAACAGCCAAGTTGAGTGTCCTTTTAGTGACTGACTTGAGAGAACGGAAATGTTGCATCAGAAGTTTTGGTAGTTGTCTGCGTGAATGATAAGAGTTGCTTTTAGAAGACAAGTAGAAAAAAATGTTACTGGATAGCACAAAGTGCAGGTGTTGGTGACAATAGAGAAAACAACGCAGTTTAGTAGAGAATGTCAGAGTTAGAGTGACACTGAATGTGGTGCTCATGCTAATAAGCTACAAACAAATAACTAACCATTATTCTTCAGAGGATGGAGAATTAAGAAGAACACTGCAATCACTAGCTTGTGGCAAAGCTAGAGTTCTGGCTAAGAATCCAAAGGGCAAAGATATCGAAGATGGTGACAAATTTATTTGTAATGACGATTTCAAACACAAACTGTTCAGGATAAAGATCAATCAAATCCAGATGAAAGAAACGGTAAACCTTTTGTTTTCTCCTAGTCCTACTGCATAGGGTTAAGTATGTTTATGGTAGAAATTTACAGATTAAAAAGTTACATGCTTGAATGTTTTAGCTGCTTGTAACTTTGTGGACTGCATCAGGGCTGGGGCCCACATGTAAGAAGGGGGCATTGGATCCATTGGAGCTGAAATTGCAAATGATTGTGAACAGCCATATGGATGCTGGGAATCGTAACTCATGTCCTGTTTGGCTGCTAAGCCATCTTTCCAGCTTCAAAATTTACAGTTTATTTTCTCAATGCTACCATTTCATGTAACATTTTCTGTGACTATATCTGGCCTAATACATTTCAGTATTTGATGATATATTTCTTTTTGTAAAAAAGTAAACATAATATGGTTCACAGTCAACGTAGTTATTCAGTTGTATTTGTTGTTTGTTTTGCTTGGTTGGAATTTTCTTGCACTGCCAGGGATGGGGAATTCAGGACCATGTGTGTTCTTCCATTGAGCTATTTCTGTATCCCATCAATATAATTTTGTTTTGTTTTTCTTCCTGATTACTTTATTTCCCCTACATGTAGTGTGTCTTGCTCATATTCAGTTCCTTGCTGTCCTGTACCACCATCACTTGCTGCTCTCCTTTCTCCCAAATAATTGTCTTGCTTTAACATGTCTATCTCTTGCACGAGCACACATGCACACATAATGCATATATAATTAAACCAGATTTTATATGAGAGAAATTGAGCTATTTTGCGTTTTTCTTCCTCGTTCAGTACTCATTTCTACTTTAATGTTGTGTGTGTATGTATTTGTGATATATATATATGTGTGTGTGTGTGTGTGTGTGTATACATATATGTATATATATGTATGGATTTCACATATCAAGCAAAATGTGATATTTGTCTTAAGTCTGTCTTATTTTGCTTAACAAGATCTCTATTATTCATTATCCTACAGATTATATCATTTTATTCTTTATGGCTGAGTAAATTTCTATAGATTTCATCTGTTGATGGATACCTAGAATGATTATATATGTTTATTCTTTTTTTTTTAAATAAGTATCTCATTCCTGTAGTCTCAGTGATAGGAAATGAAAGTCAGAGTAAAGTAGATCCTTGGAGGCTCATGGACCAGGTAGCCTAGGCTATAGGGCAAAGTTCCAAGCTGATAAAGAGACCCTGTCTCAAACAGAAAATGAAAGGCACCTGAGCTCCAATGCCCAAGGTTGTCTTCTGATGTCCCCAACCACACCCATATAATAGGATACCCCCTACACACACATTGAAAAAAATCAACAGAATGGGCTCAAATCAACAGAATGGGAATCAAATCAACAGAATATCATATTCTTGAACATACCTAAATCTTAATCTTAATGATCTTTTCCTTAAAATGGTTTCATGGGGGACAGAGAAATGGCTCAGTAAGATTAAGAGCAGTGCCTCCTGTTCCAGAGGACCCAGGTTCCCAGTACCCACATGGCAGCTCACAACTTCCTGTAACTTCAGTTCTATAAGATCTGTTATTTTCACATAGACATATATGCAAGCAAAAGACCAGTGCACATGAAATAAAAATAAATAGACATTTTTTAAAAAGATGAATTTATGGAAGTAAATTTTTAGATCAGTGGGTATAAACATTTTAAATTTTAGGGAAGGCCAGTACATAACCTCCAGTGTTATTCTTTGGAGCTATCTACCTTGTTTCTTGACATGGTCACTTATTTACCTAGAACTTACTAATTAGCTAGACTGGCAGGCTGTCTATCAGGTACTAGGAATCTTGTTTTTACATGAATTCACAAAAAATCTAAATATAAAAAATAGGTCCTCATGTTTGCAGGGAAAGCACTAGACCAACTGAATCTACCTCCCAGTGCTCAGAGGTGGTATTTTTCTCTTCTCCTATATTGCATTATTTTGGTACAGGGCAGTAATGACAGCAGAAAGGAACCATATTTGTCAAGTTTTTTTTTCTCATTTAGATAAGTCACGTTCTTTAGAACAATAAGATTGTTATGATGTTCCTCATATACAGTTTGTGTTCCTAATTAAGTTTGACTTTATTTGAAAACTTGTTTTAGGTTGAAGAACAAGCAAGCACTACAGAAAGAGTATTTCAAGATAGACAGTACCAAATTGATGCTGCTATTGTCCGAATTATGAAGATGAGAAAAACACTTAGCCACAATCTTCTTGTTTCAGAAGTCTACAATCAGCTAAAATTTCCAGTAAAAGTAGGTGTTTCTGTGTCTCCAAACTGAACATGTTATAGGTGGAATTTTTAGACACTAATCTTGCAAATATAGATGAAAGGCTTAAAGTCATTTGGAACAACATGTATTCGTTTCCTATATTTGTATATGGGATTGACAGAAGAAAAATTTGTTTAGCAAAATAGACAACCAGTTTCCAAATCCACTCACTGTACTTGAAAGTTTAATGAGTAAATATGACTGAATTTACTATATATCTTTTGAATCTTACTTCTTTTCTGGAGATAACCTTGGCATTTGACAGATTTGGTTACTAGACTGAGTTACATCTTATGCTTGGTTACCTACATAAATGTTTACTAAAATCTGTTACAGAGGCTTCTAGCTATATCTTAGTGGTAAAACACTTTTTGCTTCTCTTGAAAATGTCTAGCAGTAGGTCTAGTAAACTCGAATTGGTCAATATATGGGCACGATCCAATCCAAATGTCAGTAGCAAAGGTGCTTAGACAGTGAGGTGTTATACTAGACTATTGAAATTTTAAAATACTTTAAAACGTCTGTAATAAACATTTGATAGAGGTTGCCTAGACTCCTGGCTGTTAGGATTCCTGGCAGCTTTGGACTTTGATAAGTCACTTAAATTTGCTGAACTGTTGGGAATTGGTGAATATACTTACCTCCTAGTATTATTAATCATTTTATTCATTTACATTTTAAATGATATCCCCCTTTCCAGTTTCCCTTTCACAGACCCCCCCCCCCCCCCCATCACTCCTAGTATTATTTTGAGGCTTATTGAGATAGGAAGTACAAAATACTTTATTGAGTTTAGTATGTATAGAGGCTTACTTGTAGTAGCTGTTACTTCTACTATTATAAAGTAGGCTGCTTCTTCAAACTGCCTCATTACCACACCTGCACACATGTTCACTTAATCATTTCACCTACAGCAAGATTGCTTACTAATGCTAGAACATAGGAAATAACTAGAATTTTGATCATAACTGAAACCAATATGATATTTAACCTGGGCTTATTAGATGAAATTTTACTTCCTTTTTTTTTCATGTTTGGTTTGGTTTGGGGATAGGGTCTTACTGTGTTCCAAGGCTGGATTCAAAGTCAGTCCTTCATTTTTATTGATTCCATGTCTGAATTTAACAAACCAAAAGTTGAAAACATCCTTTAAGAATGCAGTAGCTGACTGTGAAGCAGAGGAAGGCAGATACCTTGTGAATTGTAGGTCAACCTGGTCTACATAGTGAATAACAGGACAGCCAGGACTACAAAGAGAGACCCTGTCTCAAACACACCCATATGCACGCGTGCACACTCACACATACTCTCTCCAAACACACTCAAAAAAGATGTATTAGCTGTGTGTGGGGCATGTGTTTCTAGCTACCAGCTGAGGCAGCAGCAATATTACTAGAGCTTCTCATTCTAACAAAAAAATTGTATCTGTATTGAATATTCAATTTATTTTCCTTTTTATCTCAGTTATTTTAAGTGATGTGGAGATATGTTTATGTCAGGGTCATTCATTCAAGAGAGAAGTATAATTATCAATACAAGACTATTTACAAAAAAGATTGTATTTCTAATTATGTGTCTAATGGGCATTTCCATGTGTGGACAGTTCTGTTCAGTTCCACCTGGAGCTGGAGGTACAGGCAGTTGTGAACCACCTGGCATCAGTGCCAGAGCCGAACTCCTCCTCTTCAAGAGCAGTACAAGCTAAGAGCCCTGAAGCATCTCTCCACCACTGAGACTTTGTTGGTATTGTCTGTGACAAGGTCTAATACATCCCAGGCTGGCATTGAGTTCCCTTTGTAGCTGAGTCTGAATATAGGCATGCTCTACCATGCCCAGTTCTAAATTGTCATAATCAAATTTTAACTACAAGATTCAGAGATCGAAATTGCTTATATAAATAGTTAAAATTCATAGTAAACCAGAAACATACAGGTATGAATTAATGTGATACTTTCTCAAATTTCCTGTAGTTTTGTCAATGTGTGGTATTTGGGAATAGAACCTAGGCCCCTTCCATATGCTAGTAAAAGCCTTAACTGCCCCAGCCCTTTTGTTTGTTTTGTTTGCCAACTTTCATGAACTCACTATTGTCATTCCTCAAGCTACCCAAGTAGCAAGGATTACGTAGACTTATGCCAGTAGGTCCAGTATTTTTATATAGTTCATATAGTAGTTTCTCTTACATATTTTAATTCATGTGTTAATTTTTTATTTACTTAATTTTGTTTGTTTGTTTGTTTGTTTGTGACACAAAGTCTTATTGTGTACCCCAAGCAGGTCTTACTCTGAATCCTCTTGGCTCTGGCCTCCCACTTGCTGGGATTTTAGACATATGCTACAATGCTCCAGCTACATTTAATTTAAGTTTATTTAATTTAGAGACAGGGCTTGTCATGCACTCTAGCTGTCCAGGAACTCACTCTGTAGACCAGACTGGCCTCAAACTCAGAGATCCGCCTGCCTCTGTGTAGTCACTTCTTGCCTTTGTTGTCTCTTTTATTTTAGTGGGATGTTGGTAGATGGACTTAATGCTGATGCTTAAGAGTTTTGCATTGAAAATATGCTTTCTCTTACAGCCTGCTGATCTTAAGAAGAGAATAGAATCCCTAATTGACCGGGACTACATGGAAAGAGATAAAGAAAACCCAAATCAGTACAACTATATTGCATAGAATGCTGGCCTTGGAACATTTGTTGTCATAATGCGGTAGCCAATGGATAAACTAACTTGTTGAATCTCATGTTATTTGACTTCTTTTATACTTCCGATGACCAAATGAAGCAGTGTAATGGGAATAGTTGCGTGGACTTTTCTCAGTGGTTAACATACCCATTTTAAAGAGTAATACTTAACCTTTAAGAAGAATGTTGTTGAACTCTATGCATGTTATTTAGTATGATGTGCAGAAAGTACCTGGGTCTTCATGATTCCTTTTGGATCTGGGGAAGAGATCCCTATGGCCATTAAAAGGGGGAGGGTGATTCTTATACATCATCAATAAAGCAAAAGGTTTATTTGCCTAAAAGTCATTTAAAGTTACTTAAACTGCATGCAAATTTTATTTACTGTACAGAGTTCTGGATGTATTTATCAAATAGAAAAACCACCCTGGACTTTGGTTGTTCACCCATTTTGTGGTTTCCCTTGAAAAGAAGAGTAAGTCTTCATTGTTGGCATTCTGTTACACTGAAGGGGAAAAAGCCTTATTTGGAAACAAGTTTTTCAAGTAGGGTGACAGTTCCTTCCATCATACCTTAAATATTCACATCCTAAAGGTTTCCCATTATGAGTCTGGGATGTGTACATAAGACTTAGCCCCAAATTCACTGTGCTGATTAACAGGACTTAAAGTAGATAGAGAAATTGCTGATCATCTTGTACCACAAGAACAGAACATAGTAAGAGGTGAAAACCCAGTTCATTTTATTAAAACTGAATACAGTATGAAAGTCACAGGAGACCAGAATCAACAAATAGGTTTTGTAAATTGCAGGAGTAAAAATTTACCAGCTGCCTTCCATCATGCTTCAGTCTTTAAATGTTTGGATTGTTTTGTCTTTAGTTTGGGCGGATTGTCAATTGTCAGAGGTTTCCTAAGATTTGCATTCCAGTTTTTTCTACTATTTTTTTTTAACTGTCATGCTCCTCCTGACTTGGAGAAACTCAACATATGATTGATTCTCCCTTGTCTTCCTTACACACTCCCTATTTGAAACCTTCAAGTTCTGTATTCCTTTTTTAAAATTGCTTGAATTTAAGAGTTCTCATAGCCATTGGACACCTGCTTTTCAGGGAAGTGTCTCCAATTGGTCACACAGAAAATAACAAAATTATTGCTTTTCAAATTCAAAATGTGAGTAAAAGACTTTTCTTCACCAGAGGGTTTTGCTTTGCTTCCTGGTTTCTCTTTCCGTGAAGGAAATTGATTATGGCAGAGAAGCAGACTGTTCTGGTGTTTTCTCTTAAATTAGAACTTCAATGTTTTCTCCACTAGCATATATCTTTGTCTTTTTGGATCTATTGTGGTATCTTCAGCTTAGAAGACTTGGGGGCTCTTATGTCTACTATTGTTTTCTTGAATTCTCAAAGACCTGTGGCCAGCTATCTGTATTTTTTTAAGTTGCCTATTTCTCTCTAATGCACCAACTTGCACACTGACTATGTATAGTATTTAGAATTAACTTCCCAGTTCTTTCTGAGCAGCTATTTCGTATATTTTTTTTCCAGCTCCTCCCTGATTTCCTTACAGGAGCTCTTCTGACAAGGAGTGTGGCTGTTATGTTTACTGGACCATCAGCATCAGTGTTCTAATTCATCCCTGTTGGTCTCTGGGGTATGGAGACTATTACACCACTCACTAAGTTATTCTTTACATAGTTTTTAGGTAGATTCATTCCCACTAGGATGCTCTTGATACCAACTTCATTATCTTGAAAGCGGGTCCCTGTCCTGAAGTTCTTAACTCCTTGAAAACTTGATGGTATTTCAGCTGAAAAATTAGCCAGACTACTAAGGGAAACTGTTTATGAAACTGAAAAGTAATGGCAAACTACATTGGGTTATTAAGAATTTCAGTTGTTCTGTATCGGTTGAATTTTTGTGCTCTTTTCCCTGTGTATGTGTGGTGGTTCTATTTTTCTCCAATAAAACTTTTATTTTAAAAAATGTTTCTGGGGAAGATACTTAAACTCCAAATATTGTGAAAAAATTATAAGAGTAGAATATATAAAATCTTCCTAATGACTTCTTAATTCATATTTGATTATTTTTATACTTTCTCTCGGTTATTTTGCTGGTAGTTTTGAGATACTGTGGAGGAGGTTATTGTAAAAAGAGTAAATTTTTTAGTATTCTCAAAGTAGACAATTATTTCCACTTCAGAAAAATCAAGGGCAAGTGTAAATATTTTTCATTCAAACTTTAAAAGTCAGCAGTTTCATGTCAGTATAGAAGTAGTTTAGATTGAAGTTGGAAGAAAAAGAAAATATGCTTGTTGTGTTGTGGTGCTTGATGTTCTGTTCTGAACAAAATCCTGTCATAAATGTTACTCAGTGTTTTCCTAATTCAGTTCCTGAGTCTGCTGAATGGTGACTTACACTTTACATATACTTTGCCATATACCTTGTCATATATACTTTACATCTTTGCTACTCTGTGTGTGTGTTTGTGTTTGTACAGGAGAGGAAATAGTTTTTTCTGTGTAGCCATCAATACCTAAGGATTGACAAGTTTATGTTCTAATATCTCTGGGACAGAGTCTTGCTTGTAGCCCAAGCTGTCCATAAATTTGTGATCCTCCTGCTTTGGGCTCTAAGTGCTGTGTATTTATACGGTTTGACTATGTACAGTATTTAGAATTAACTTCCCAGTTCTTTTTTTTTTTTTGAGACAGGGTTTCTCTGTGCAGCCCTGGCTATCCTGGGACTCACTCTGTAGACCAGGCTGGCCTTGACCAGGCTGGCCTCGAACTCAGAAATCCACCTGCCTCTGCCTCCCAAGTGCTGGGATTAAAGGCGTGCGCCACCACTGCCTGGCCCCAGTTCTTTCTGAACAGCTATTTCATACTTTTTCTAGATTATAGCTGTGTACCACCATGTCTTTCTTGTCTCACCCATCTTTAATTGTATGATTTTTGTCTGTTTTAATGACCACTCTGTATAATGTTACTCATGATAAAAAGTTACATATTTCCTTTTTTTTCATTCACATAAAATTTCCAAAACAAATAGTTTATTAAGAAGAAAGACCCAAGGATACTGGGACTTTATATTACAGCACTTTTTAAAGTGTCCTTTTCCAATATTTCACTAAGGATTTTTTTCTTTTTGTCAGTTGCTTACAAAAATCTTGCTTAAGGTCAAGTAAGATTTGGTGGCTCATGCCACTAATCCCAGGCCTTGGATGGCAGACGAAAGTGGATGGAGCTGTCAGTTCCAGGCCAGCCAAGGCTGCATAATGAGACCCTATCTAAGAAACAGCAATAAAACCCAAAACTCCTGTTTAACATTGACATAGTGATGTGGTTCAAATCATATACTTGTTCATTTTTTTTCTTCCTGCTATTAGAATAAAATATTCTTTTAAATGGACATTTTATACACTTTGATAGTTAATATTTAAAAGTATTGTCTAGCACAGTAAAAGACCCAATTTATTTTATAAAATATTCTTATTTGCTATAGAATATAAGAATGTATACTATTGGAAACATTAGAACTTAGTAGTTTTACTAGCTACAAAATCGTCTTTCACTCTCTAATTCCTATAATATCTCTTTCCATTTTTATTTTCTATTGTGGTAAAATACACATAACATTTAACCATCCTAAGCATGTGCTGTGTGGTTATCATTTTGTAGTTTCAGAACATTTCCAGCACTTATTATTGAGCAGTTATTTCCCATTCCTGCTCTACCCAGCCCCTGGAAACCACTCACCTGGAGATATATATATATATATTTCCCACATCACTGGAATCATGACTTATGTTGATTTCTTTCCTTAGCATGATGTTTTTCAAGGTTCATGTGTTTAAAACATATGTGTGTTTACCCAGAGTATTCATTAAATGTATGGGTTTTCACTTTTTCTTGTTTCAAAATCTTTGGAGTATACACAGAATGAAACTGCTGAGTTACATGGTGATTCTGTGCTAAACTTACAGAGGAATCTTCAAATTACATTGCTGCTGGTAGCAGCAATGGTTTGGTTCATAATGGTTTGGGATTTTATTTCCTTAATAACCATTTTACATATCATATGCTTGTTTGCCATTTCTAGCTTTTCTCCTTGATGTCTTCACATTGTTCATCTTCACATAGGATTCCTTGTCTTTGGTTACTGAGTTATAAGAGTTTCTCATATGCAGATGCTAGAGTCTGATCAAACAGAATAGTCTGCTAATAATTTATCTGGTTAAAAGTTGTCTTTCCCATGTATTTACACAAAAATATTTCATTTTATCACATTTATTTGTGCATAACGTGCCATTGCACACACGTGCAAGTCAGAAGGCAACTTGTTCTCTCTCTCCTTTCACCTTGTAGATCCCAGGGATCGAACTCATGTAGTCAGGTGTGGCAAGTGCCTTTAACCTGCTAAGCCAGCTCACTAGTGCAGAAGTATTTAACGAAGTATAGGTAATCAACTTTCTTTTTCTTTTGTGGCTTGTACTTTGGGTATTTTGAAGAAATTCTTGGCAAATTCTCATTCATTTGGGTTCTGGATTTACTTACTCTTTCTAAGAGTTTAGTCTAGTTTTATTGTCCTTTGAGTTAAATTTTCTGTGTGGTATGAGACAAGTGTTCTTTATTCTTTTGTCTAGGCATATTAAGTTGTCCCACCACTTTAAGAGATAGATAGTTTACCCTCTTAAATGGCATTGCCACTTTTCTCCGAGACAGGGTTTCCCTGTAAACCTTGGCTGTCCTGGAACGCTCTCTGTAGACCAGGCTGGCCTTGAACTCAGGGATCCACCTTTCTCTACCTCCAGAGTGCTGGATTTAAAGATGTGTGCTACCACCACCCAGCTTATTTTATTTTTAATGTTCAGTTTTTGGTTTGGTTTGATTGGCTTAGTTTATCTTTATTTTGTTTTGTTTTTTGAGTCTCACTTAAGTGGACCTACCTGGCTTCTCTCTGTCTTCCAAGTGCTGGGATAAAAGGTGTGCACCAGTACAGCCAGCTGAATCTATATGTTGAATCATTATGCTAGTAATGTACTGTAGCTCTGTAAAATATTTTAAAGTCAGGATGTATGAGTTCCAACTTTGCTTTTCCTTTTTGAGATGAGTTTTACCTACTTGGGTAAACTTTTAACAAGAGTTTTTCCATTTAAGTCTAATGACTACAAGATGTATATATGTTAGGTCTCTTAAAATTTCAGTTAGATTTGCACTTTTCATGTAAAGTTTTGTATTAGTCCCTAAATATACCTAAATATAAAACTCTAATGCTGTTATTAAATTGTCTTCTGAACTTATTCATGCATGTATTTCAAGTCTATATAATCATCTACCACCAGTGGTTCTCAATCTTCCTAATACTAGAACCAGTTAATACAGTTCCACATGTTGTGGTAACCCCTAACTATAAAATTATTTTCATTACTACTTCATAACTAATCTGCTACCGTTATGAATTCTAATTTAAATATCTGATATGCAGGATGCTTGATATATGTGACACACAGATTGAGAACTGCTAGTTCTGCAACTGATTTTTTACTTGATAATTTTGTATCCTCAGTTTTGGATTGATTTGTTGGCACTTATATATTTTGGTGGGTTTTATTTATGGCATCTTATTTTGTCTTTTTTTTTTCCAGAGCTGAGGACCAAACCCAGGGCCTTGTGCTTGCTAGCAAGCGCTGTGCCACTGAGCTAAATCCCCAACCACTATTTATAGTATCTTAATCATCTAGTTTAGGTACCTTTTCTCTTCTGCCTGGTATGTAAGCCTAGTGTGTGTGCTGGAGCGTCTAATACAACTTTGAAAAAAATTGGGAGTTTGATAAATACCCATTATGAGAACAGGACGTTTCTTTTCACGCCTAGTTTGAAGAGTTTGATTTTTCTTTTCATGCCTGGAGAGTTTGACTTTTGTGTTCACTGATATGTATACATGTTTATTTATATTACCTGTAGAGGCCAAAGAAGGACATTGGATCCCCTGGAACTGGGAGTTACAGTTGTGAGCCACCATGTGGTTGCAAGAACAGCCAGTTTTAACCACTGAGCCAACTCCGGCTCCTGGGGTTTTTAATTATTGAGCCATGTGATAATTTATCTGCTAGCTTTCTGTATCAGTTGAGGCAATTGTGGTATTTTCTTTCATTATGTTAATGTGTACTACATCGGATTCCTTTACATAGATTTCAACAATTCTAATCTTAGTAAAATGCCATGTAGGGCATGTTATTGTTTGATGTTCTGAATTTGCTTCTTAGTGTTGGAGATTTCTACACAAGTGTTCATAAGAAATATTTGCTTGTGGTAAATATATTCTTTTTTAAAGCATTTCATGACATTTGGGCTATGTGGGGGAGTCCATGCCAAGGTGCTTGTGTGGAACTTAGATGACACCTTGGAGGAGTCAGTTTCCTTCCACCATGTTGGCCTGAGGGATTTTCCTCTGTCAGCTTTGCACCTTTGTCTGCTGAGCCATCATACCAGCCTGTTGTATGCCTACTATATTTTTATTACCAGGTAATACTAGCCTCATAATACAGCGACTCTTTACTCTTCTAGCATCTGGAAGACAGAGAAGATTTGGCCTTTAAATAGTAATACCTTCCTTTAAATATTAATAGAATTCATTGCGAAGCTGTCTGATTCTGGACTTTTCTTTTGGTGAAGGCTTTTGGTTAGTGATTCAATTTGTTCTTTCTTTTTGTTTGTATTTTACACAGACTCCACAGAGCTAACCTGGAACTTACTTTGTAGCCTAGCCTAGTCTCAAACTTGAGGCAGTCCAGCCTTTAACCTCCCTGCTGAGTGGTGAGGTTATATAAATGAGTCACTTTCTATGCTTCAACTTCTTGTGGATATTTATATTAAGCTGTAAACAACTTTTAAATTTATTTATTGGCTATGTGTGTGCATACAGATGTCCATGCAACATTTTGCATATGGATAGATCGTGGAAATCAATACTCTCCAGCATGTA